AACGAACACGAACACACCTTATTTCTAAACGAACGAACACGAACACAGATTTTCGTTCGTTTACCGTTCTTGTTCGTTTGTTTATTCAGTTAAGTTAAACGAACGAACATGAACAAACCTCTGTTCGTGTTCGTTCGTTCGGTTCATTTACAACCCTAGATACCGATAAACAACTCCTAAACTTGTACCCAACACATCTTCATCTTTTGAAAACGGTCGATATATACCAAAAAATAGTTACAAAAAGTATGGTTTTGGTTATTTGGGCTTTGTTTTGTTTGGGTTTTAGTTGCACCATTTGGATTTCAGGGAAATACGGTAGCACCTTCTAAAACGATACGGTAGCACCGTTAATAAACCTAAATTTTTTACCCTTCGGTGACGAAATAATACGGTGGCACGTGCCACCCATGCCACCTCTACAGGTCCGCCTATGTGTGTTGTGTTGTTTTATACAAAACATATCATACTGGTTTTATATATACACACACGATATGAAATTATGACCATCCTTTAAAATGATTGAATGAGAATATGTTCTCATATGAATTTCTACATGCAGAATTCACATATACGACCTATTTGATTTGATAATTAGAATTCTCTGCTTCGAAATTTTAGTATGTAATTGTAGGTACTATTAGTGTATGAGAACTAGTTAATGGTCGGTTGTAAAAGGTCACTTAATATGGAAACTTATGAGGACAAGAATGAGTGAGTATAATGGAAAACTAAGTCTACTCTATTTGTGACTCCAACAAGTAAAAATAACAAAGGAACGTTGTTGAACAAGTCCACCTGCAGTTTGCATAACCTATAAACTATTGACGTTTAAATGGGACGGAATATTACTTAGGTGGTGTTAGCAGGGATGTTGTACATGAAATCCTTAATTTGGGTTTGGAGTTGATCGAAGGAGAGAGTCTTCAATTAGCCATTGATACACCATCATAACCCTTGGCACCAATAGCACAAATTGATGGATATACGTTAGAAAAATTCACCTTTTAGCGATCCGAGGCGTTCAATCCTTAACTCAAGAAAGATGGAGAATCATTAGAACCATCAAGTTAATTGCGTTGGAGAGAAAATTCGTATGCATATACTGAGTATGTTTTGTATGTGTAGAGAGATGTGTTAGAGAGCTTGGTTTGTAGTATGCATTTGTATGTGAAATGAAATTTGGAGAAGGGAGACTACAAACTAAAAGCAGAGGACCCATCATAAATTCATAATGTAGAAAGTGAACACTTCTATTGTGCCCTTTACCATCAATACGCAATAGGCTCACAAATTGGGTCACGTGGAAGAAGACAACATTGCTAACCATTCCCTAAAAGAAAAGAAGAAAAGTGATGTGAAATTTGAAAATTACTCGTTACCTCTTCCACATGACTGATGCAGCACACGCTTCGATCCATAGGAGAAGCAAACAGGTTGATTAGCAAAATCCATCGAATCATCATCGAGTAACATTACATAGTTATCACAAGATACGAATTAATCTAATCGTGATTTGAAAGCGGAACAACATAATAGATTATAGAATATGTTCATAAATATTGAACCTTGAAAAAGGCAAAAGTACCACTACCAGTATCATATTTGACGATGATACCTTCCACCGTATTTCGAATTTCTAATGTCGCTACCGATGAACACGTCCAATCTTCCGATCTATCAAAGACATAGCCAAAAACTAGGAAGAAAAAGCGTGACGTAAGCAAGCCACGCACCTCTACCGTTTGGCGGCATATTTTTGCAACCGATGATCCGGAAAACAATGATTGATGATCGTTTTGTGTCGTTTCCATTTTGAATTAGACTTTTAGAATCTTCGCCGGTCTAACCATTGGATTCTCACGAGAGATCGCTTCACGTCCGGCAGCCTTGTAATCGTAACTACAGTCGTGTCGATCGGAGTACCGATGTTCGGAACAGAACATCTCACCGCAGCGACATCGGAATCCCGTTAATCCGACTTTCCGTCGACAACCTGAGCACCGATTCACATCGCGTCTCTTCGTCTTAGCATCATACGACGAATCAACCGCCACAGAAGGTGGTTTCAAATCTAGATACGGATTTCCCGGCGAGCTATTGGAGTTTGGTCTCATCTCAACGATGACTTCGCTGGAACCACAACTCTTCGGATCCGATCTTTGCTCATAGGAACCGGATATCTTCGACGGAGGCGTAGCAACCGGCGGTGAGCACAAGGTTAAAGTTTTCGGAACCTTGAGCTCCGTCTCCTCTTTCTCTGTGTTATGAGCCATAGCTTTTTGCAACGAGAGAGAGAGAGAGAGAAGGGGGTGGGATTGATGACATGACAAACAAAGGTCGAAACGATGGTTCTGGAATCTCCAATTCGATTTGAACACGTGACAAAGATTGTGGTTGAGGAAATGACCGTCTTGTCCTTACGAGTCAGACGCTGACGTGGAACATTCTGGAACAAGGAAAAGCAGTATGACCACCAGCTCAGCCCTACACGTGGGTTCCACCACATGGGACAGAAGTTACGATGTTTTTTTCAAATAATTTCACGGGATTCATACAAGCCAATTTATATTTATCGAATTATCGTTACTTATAATTGAAAAATAGGAATCCGTGTTATTAAAGATAATATTTAAATAAATAAAAACAAAAACATAAGTCATAAATTGATTTTTATCAAATAAAATACATCAATGGGTTTATTTATAAGATGTAAGAACGGATGACTCTTTCTTTCTAATATCTTTGATTTTATATTTTCTATATTGGATCCATCATTTTCCGAATATTTTTCAAAATTGCAATATCTTGGAAACTCCAAAGATTATCCGAACTCTCTAACATTATGATAACTCTTGGTATATGTACTTGTACAATGCGAGAAATGTAAAATTTTCTACATTGTTGTCATCAATGTGGGATTAAACAAATAAAGAGCAACAAAACACGGTTTTGTTACACCATTCAAGATATCTACAGAAATTAAGTACTTCATATTGCTAACTGATAAGTGCGTAAAAACATACACTTTAGCATATAATTATGTCTTTATTTCACTTCATTTTACATATTTCTCAATTCTATATTGAGTGTTTTGGTCTTATTTTATGGTTTCACATTCATTGGAGCTAGGATGCAGAATGATACTGTTTTATGTATTTGGTGAATAAAATGTTGAATTAAGCATTGTTGTAGCAGGTGTATACGTTGTTGCAGCACTGGACACTGAATATTGGCACAGCTGATTCAATCGCGTTGAATAATTTGAAAAGTCAAGTTTTGAAGAAAGACATCTTCTAGTACTGATAGTAGACGGTTTAGATGGAAGATGTCACTGCAAAGATAACTTAAACTTCTGTACTAAGACATCTTCTCTTTTACCCATTGGCTAATAACCAAAGAATATTACCCACTAGTACTTTTGATTCCCTCTTATTAGTGTATATATATA